ATGAGCTGCGCTTGAAGCACTGCCAGACGATCAACGAAGAATGGCAGGTCTACGTTGGGCAAGTCATCAAGGTTCCGGATAGTAAGTTTCACGCTGGCGTGTTCTATATTCTCCCTAGATCATCTCGACGAAATTGGCCTGGAAATGAAGTCCGAACAGCAAAAGATTTCACAAGACCCGAAGATTATCTGGACGTGCGAGGTAGACGATGGCCTTCTGCCAAAAATTGTTCGTTCAGGTGGTCTGGAACTCGACGTCATTCGATCGGATGCAAAACGCGTTGAAAAAGCTGTACATGGAGCCGACTTCACTCTCCGACTACATATACCATAAGCTGATGGGCCACGAGTGCGCAGAAGTGGAATTCAAGGTGCCTCGGACTATCGGTGATCTCATAACCGGATTTTAGATGAAAATCCCGAAGAAATTGTCGGCGCCGGGCCTGCCGCCATTGAATCACAGCCAGATCCATGCGGTCAAATCGGTGCTGCTCCGCCCGTTGTCGCTGATTCAAGGCCCTCCGGGAACTGGCAAGGTAAAAGCCTGATCATTGAGCTCTCTGATTTTTTGTTAGCCAAAATTGATTTTTGGTGACGTCAGCACGTTTTTAATCTGTCATTTTAGACGGTCACCTCGGCGACGATCGTCTACCATCTAGCGACGGGCGTGGATGGCGAACACCGGCAGCAAGTCCTCGTCTGCGCTCCATCCAACATAGCCGTCGATCAGCTGGCCGAGCGAATTCATCGCACCGGCTTGAAGGTTTGCTCGATCTTTTTTCTCAAGCAGATTTTGTTAGGTGATCCGAATGGTGGCGAGGAGCAGGGAGGCGCTAGACAGCAGCGTCGAAGGGCTCACGCTGCACAATCAGCTGCTCCAATTGAAATCGGCTGCTGAACTGCACAAATTGGAGCTGCTCAGGGTTTGGAATCACAAGTCCCTCCTCAAAAACCCACTTTAGGAGGAAACCGGCGAACTGTCGGCCGAAGATGACCAACGCTACAGGCGGTTGAAGCAGGTCAAGGAGCGCGAATTGCTGCAGGTATCAAGCAGTGTTTTCCAAAAATAGGCTTTTTCCCATAGGCGGCCGATGTCATTTGCTGCACATGCTCCTCGGCGGCCGACAAGCGCCTTGCTGGTTTGCGGTTGAAGTGCATGCTCGTCGACGAGGCCACGCAGGCGACGGAGCCAGAAGTGCTGACGGCCCTCGTCCGCGGCGTTCGCCAGCTGATCCTTGTTGGTGACCATCGGCAGTTGGGGCCCGTCGTCATGTGCAAGAAGGTTGGACTTTACAATTTCATATACCGAATATGCCTAAAATACAAAAATAAACGGCTATGAAAAGGCTAGGGGTCCTGCTCGCTTCATCGTTGTTTTAGGCAGCTGCTGCCGGCCTTACGCAGTCCATGTTCGAGCGCCTCGTCCTGTTGAACAACACGCCGATTCGGCTTCAGGTATAAATTCTAGCGAGGGCCCATTACATTTCAGGTGCAATACCGCATGCACCCCGCTCTGTCCGCCTTCCCGAGCAACATCTTCTACGAGGGCAAGCTGCAAAATGGCGTCACCGAGGGTGGGCTTGTTTACGCTGCGTTTTTGTAGTCCTGTATTTATTTTACGTTGCATTGATTTTTACGATGTTTCCCGTAACACTAGTTTTCAGAAGATCGCAAGCTGAAGGGCATCAAATGGGAGTGGCCGGTGCAGAACAAGCCGCTGATGTTCTGGACGAGCTACGGCCAGGTTCGATTGCTCTGCATTTTTTGTACCCTTGTTTTAGGAAGAGATCGCTGCGTCCGGAACGTCGTACCTCAACCGCACCGAGGCCGCCAACGTCGAGAAGCTGGTGACACACTTGATCCGGTACGTAGCTTACCGCAGGACCTCGCTATTTTTGCCCAATCCGATGTAGCTTCTGTTTTTTTTTGCAGGGGTGGAATGCGTGCTGAACACATTGGTATCATCACACCGTACGAGGGGCAGCGCGCCTATCTCGTCAACTACATGAAGAATCACGGCACACTGCCCTCCAACCTCTACGAGGCCATAGAGATCGAGAACGTTGATGCTTTCCAGGTATGGTTTTGCCCCTAAAAAATAGTTTTCACTATTCAGGGCCGAGAAAAGGAGGTGATCATCGTCACGTGCGTGCGCTCGAATGAACACGGCGGCATCGGCTTCCTGCAAGACTCGCGTCGGTTGAACGTGGCGATCACGCGAGCCAAATGTGGTTTGATCATCATCGGCAACGCCAAGGTGCTGGGCAAGCAGCCGCTATGGAACGAGCTGCTCAATTATTACAAGGTATCAATAGATGTTTTTCACCAATACGTCTGAATTTTGTAGGATTTGGACTTGATCGTTGAAGGTGCGCTAAACAACCTGAAGACCAGCCACATCCAGTTGCCCGTCATCAAGTTGAACAACACGAATCCGGCTTATCCGGTAAGGGTTCAACTCCTTTCACATCGCCTTTATTTTAAGAGCATGCGACACTCTGGCATGGACCAGCGCCAGATGTATACGTTGAGCGAATACCGCGGCGAGGCCAAGGGTACGTTTTTGTATTTTTCTACGCCCATTGTAAAAATTTTTTAGCCCAAGCCGACCCGGGTGCTGCAGCGACGGCCCAGTCGCTGCGCGAGCAGCAGGCCCAATTCCCGATGCCTCTCCACATGACCCACCTTGGCCAGGTCGTCGCCGCCGCCCAGTCGCGCTACAATGCCCAAAATCGTTGGTCTTTACGTACAGCGCAAAATTTTGCTGTTTAGAAGCCAAGCAACAGGCCGCTAGCACGGGATCCAGCGGCGCGTGGCCGCCACTTGCGCCCGCCTCGAAGGCGAAGGGTGCCGGAGGAACGTCAGGACGGGATACGACCTTCGACTCGTACGCCTCGCAGGCCAGCCAGGACTTTTTGGGTATAAATTGGCGTTATGTTGGGATTTATCTAAAATTTTAAGGCGATGCTTCCGTCCCATGGGCTTCGCAAGACGCGTCACAATCGCAGTCGCAAGCGCAGCCTTGGCGCACGCCAGGACATGGTCGTGGCGCATCACAAATGGTAAGATATTGCTTCTCATTTGCAAAACTGTTCAATATCTTGTTTCTCATTGCAAAACTGTTCAGTATCTTGTTTCTCTAGTTGAATGTTTTTTAATCAAAATATCCTAAAATGATGCCTCGTAGACCATTTTATTTGTTTAGGTCAGCCAGGATGATGGCGGTCTCTCGCAGGGCGGTGGCCACGGCACCCAGTTCAGCCAGGACCTCGACGGCGACATGGCCAAGCTGATGTTGTCACAGGGACCCTAAGGGTAAGCGTGTTTTTTATGTTTCGCCTAATCCCTTATTTTAGAGCCTCGAAGAAACAGGACACCTTTGTAACTCGCGATTCGAGGCCCTGATTGGGGGTTGAGGCCCGCCCCCTGCTGTCCCCGCAACCCCGCACTAACTGATCCCGCCGGCGCCGCCGACCCTCGCCCCGGGGCTGACTCTTTGGAGATATGGCTTAAAAGGTTGGTGCTTTGTCGACTTTGAATTACAAAAAACATCAGCCGCATTTAGCTTTTTTTGTAATCTTTCATTTGGTTCTGTCGCATTATCGGGGGAAGCCAACTTTTTTCTTAGGATCCAAGTTTTCAAATATAGGTAGCGGAGCTGTTTGTAAAATGTTTGTTTTTGCTTTTCCTAAATGTAAAAATTTAAAAATTTGTGTCAAAAATACAAAATTGCGATTTTTCGATGACAAAGACCGATTTTTCTTCCAAAATATTGCCTTGAAAGTTCACGTTTTGGATATTTTCTATTTGAAATATAGTTATATTTGACCAAAAACACTAATAAAGTACCCGCTATTGCGTAGCCATTTGTAGTTTTATACAAAAAATTTCGGTCCGCCCCCCCCCCTCGATAATGCAATAGAACAATCTGAAAATTTGCAAATTTTCACATTGATGGGTTAAAAATTGCTCTATGCTGCCGTTTTGACCCCGTGCAAACATATTTTTGCAGAACATTGCCGCTATGAAATAGGAAGGAATGACGTGCCATTCAACGCTGAACGGATTGCGCTACCCTCGAATACCCACACAACAGCCGTCTGTACAGCTTCCTAAACGACTATTTTTCTCTTAGCTGCCCTGTCCTTGAGCCATGTTTCCTTTTATTGTATGCATGCTGTTTTACGAGGTGTTCTTGTTTCTTCTATTCTCCCGGTTTCCCTTTCTCTCGCCACCCTTGTTATAACCGGTTATATGGTTGTTCCGCGTTTTATAGCCCATTCTCAGTAATTTGTTTATCTCTTCTGTTTTTATAGCGCATGTCCTCCTTGCCCGTTTCTCATTATTTAAGGCGATTTTATGACGAATAAATTATTTTAACTGTTAGACTCGATGAAGCCTGTCTTTGTCCCAGATGTGCCGCCTTTTGACAGTTTAACCATCGAAACCTTGTTCAAAATTTTTTGAACATTTGAAGCCCTGTTCAAAACGACCAGTTTTGCCGAAAATCGGATTTTTGTAATTTATTCTTGTTTGCACTTCAAATTTTTTTAGTTCTTTTAGTAAAAATGGTAGCGTTTTTGCGTTCTAAAAACCCAAAGTAAAAGCTCCTCAACTGCGTCTTTTTTATTCGAAAAATTATTTGCTTGGTTTTTGGGGGTTCTTCTAAATCCCCTTCCACCCGATAAGGCTAAAGAACCTGCATTACTTATTATAACTTAAGTATTCTTGTATTAACAACGTGTATTTTAGGGCATACAGCGAGGGTTTATCAGTAAGAATTCCAATTGCGAGTTTCCAAAAAACAAGAAGCGGGAATAGAAACCAAAAAAGACCAGAAAAAGCGAGGGCGGCGGAAGGACCGCATACACGAGTCTATACAATATACATCGAAAATTGGGGGCTTTTAAAGGGGTGGTGAAGGCGGGAAATAGACGGCTCGAGGGCGCGGGGCTTCGTTTTAAAGGGACAGCGACACATCGGCGCGAGGGAGGGCCATCAGACACCGGTGCCGAGACGCGCGTTCGGGTCCTTCATCACCTTCTTCAGAATCCACACGATCGACTTGAAATCGGGGCGGCTCTGAAAAAAAATATTTGATCTCATACTGTTGAAAATAATCGTCTTATTTTTGCTGAAAATTCCAACAGTTTTTACGTTTTTTCGCTCTCTTTCTCGCTCTTTCTCTCCCTCCCTCCCTCCCCTCTCTCTCTCTCTCGCTCTCTCTCCCACCTCCGGCGTCGTAATACATTCAGCATACAGCTCGCGGATCCCTTCGGGCATATGTTCGGGCGGCGGCAAACGGAAACCATTTTCCACCACCTCCGTGTACACCTAAACACAGTTTTAAAGGAACCAGCAAGCCATAGCGCTTCCTAAGCCACGCCCTTTATCCCAAAAATTCCATTTTCTAGCTTCCAGCAAAAAGCCAAAAATTTGACCCCGGCCGGGACTGAACCCGGGTCGTTGGGGTGGCAGGCTGGAGGTTAACCATTCAGCTACGAGAAAAATTTGGATTTTGCTGATTTTAAAGGAACCTCAAAGCAAAGTATACTTTTGTGCCATCCCATCCGTTGTAGGGGATCTCGTACGGGATCTTGAACACCTCCCACATCGTGATGCCGAACGCGTAGACGTCCGTCTTGAAGTCGACCTGGAAAAGCATGGATTATTAGACCTCCAATTGTCTAAAGTTCATAAATTACGCAATTAGCCATTTAAGCATAAAAGCGTTCGCAATAAAACTTCAGCCATTTTAAACCGTTTTTTGTCAAATTTCACATGTTTCATCTAAAAAATCAATCAAAAAATAAAATTTACATGAATAGGTTGGCATAAGATTTTTGGACCAGAGTCCAGGGGGTCAAAGTGTCTGCCACGAATAATCTCCGCTGGCTCGCTCCCTTGAAAAGTACGTTGCACTCCGTTACCGTACCTTTGCGCTGGTGAAGCAGTCGGGGGCAATCCAGCGCAAATTGCAGTCGCCCTCCGTGTTGATCTTGTAGCCCTTTTTGCCGATACTGCGCGACAGGCCGAAGTCGTTCACCTGAAGAAGAGAGTGAGACGAGAGAGCGAGAGAGAGAGAGAGAGCGAGAGAGACAGAGAGAGAGAAACCGTACCTTGACAACTTTATCAATCAAAAAGTTGCGAGCGCCAATGTCGCGATGGATGACGCCTTGTTGGTGGATGTATTCCATTCCTGAAAATACGGAAAACTAGTAAAGATCATTTAGGAAAAGGAGAGGGCAGGCTAGCAGAGATTCCCTACCCTGTGCCCCCTCGAGCAGCATCTGGACCCGCTTCACCGCTGGCAGGGCCTTCAGCGACTTCCGCTTCTCCAGATATCGATCCATACCGCCGCCGTGCACCAACTCCGTCACGATCAGGTACGGCTAGAAATGAACTTCATTTTGCCTTGCCAATCCCTTTAAATTTAGCCTCATCCTCACCTCCTTGTCGTTGCACACGCCGTACATCTTGACGACGTTGGGGTGGCTGAAGTTGCGCATGACGCGCGCCTCGCGCCACACTTCCGCCGCCGCCTCGGGCGTCTCGCTCCACAGCTCTTTCACGGCCACCTAGACGGGGAGGTCAGCAAAGGGTCTCTGCTAGCCTGTCCCAACCTCTATCGGCTTTTCGCTTGTCTTCTTCTTCAGCATCCCCTTGTAGACACGGCCGTAGGCGCCTTCTCCAAGTTTTTTGTCCCTAAAATTGGGTGTTGCATACCAGAGAGAGAGAGGGAGAGGGAGAGAGAGAGCGAGAGAGTGAGAGAGAGCGAGAGAGAGAGAGAGAGAGAGAGAGAGAGCGAGAGAGAGTGAGAGAGTGAGAGAGAGAGAGTGCCTGAGAGTGAGAGAGAGCGAGAGGAGAGAGAGAGAGAGAGAGAGAGAGAGAGAGAGAAAAGCGAGCCTACTTCTCGATGGTGACCATCTGATGGCGCAGTTCCCATGCTTGGCGCTTCACCGGGTTGTACAGCGTCACCTCCTCGTCGCCCATCTGCAGTTTCCGCTTCCGAATCTAAAATGATTGACGTTATGTCGTTTTTCGCCGCGAGTCAAGCGCAAGGCTAAACGCAAGCTTAAGCCTAATCCTAAGCCCATCCTTCCTCCCCCAGGACCTGGTACATGTCGATGAGGTCGTTGATGCTCTCGTGCTTCTCCCCGCCCAGCACGTACTTCACAGTCTTCTTCGTCTTGGCCTCCTTGATCTGCGCGTTTTTCATCTGCAAAAAAAACGCTGATTTTAAGTGAAAGCCAGGATTAAATTATACCTTCTTGGAGATCTGGCAAAATCTGCCAAGAAAAAAAGTTACGCTCAAGAAAATTCGATGTAACACTTTTCCGTTACCTTCCCCTGCCAGAAAATTGATAATATGAGCTTGGGCTCAGCCTGGCGGTCATCCTCGGGGATGAACGAGCGGAGAAGGAAGTCGCCGTCTTTTGTCAGAATCGAGGAGACGTCCTGAAAAACATCAAAAAATAAGGTTAAAAACAAAAGGTCGCACATCGTTGGGGAGGATGCCGTGGAAGAACTCGTGGTTGATCACTTGATCGGCATGTTGGTGCTGGAAAAGAGCGAAATGAGAGAGAGCGAGAGAGAGAGAGAGAGAGAGAGAGAGAGAGAGAGAGAAGAGAGATCGACCGATACCTTGCGCGGTTTGAACTTGGCTTTCTTGGCCTCTTTCTTGTTCTCCTGATCCGATCCGGATGAGTCCTTCTCCGACTTGCTCGAGTCCGACTTCTTGTTCTCGCCGGACGACGAGGCCGTCTTGGTCTTTTTCTGCAAAAAAAGAATGATCTCGAAGTCTACAGAATTAGCATACGACATTAGCATCAAACGTACTTTCTGCTTGCTCTTCTTGTCTTTGCCCATCCGAGTGTCGTGAAAAAAGACGGTGGGAAATCCCTGGGACTGGCTACACCCAATTTTAGCTAGAAATTTATGCAAATCATGGCTGGCTTCCGGTGAGGTCGTGGATTCAAAGATCTACTGAAGCTTCGGGCAAACTAGCAGAGATCTTTGAGGTAGAGGAGAGGGCAGGCTAGCAGAGATTGTTGAGGAAGTGGAGAGGGCAGGCTAGCAGAGATTGTTGAGGAAGAGGAGAGGGCAGGCTAGCAGAGATTGTTGAGGAAGAGGAGAGGGCAGGCTAGCAGAGATTGTTGAGGAAGAGGAGAGGGCAGGCTAGCAGAGATTGTTGAGGAAGAGGAGAGGGCAGGCTAGCAGAGATTGTTGAGGAAGAGGAGAGGGCAGGCTAGCAGAGATTGTTGAGGAAGAGGAGAGGGCAGGCTAGCAGAGATTGTTGAGGAAGAGGAGAGGGCACGCTAGCAGAGATTGTTGAGGAAGAGGAGAGGGCAGGCTAGCAGAGATTGTTGAGGAAGAGGAGAGGGCAGGCTAGCAGAGATTGTTGAGGAAGAGGAGAGGGCAGGCTAGCAGAGATTGTTGAGGAAGAGGAGAGGGCAGGCTAGCAGAGATTGTTGAGGAAGAGGAGAGGGCAGGCTAGCAGAGATTGTTGAGGAAGAGGAGAGGGCAGGCTAGCAGAGATTGTTGAGGAAGAGGAGAGGGCAGGCTAGCAGAGATTGTTGAGGAAGAGGAGAGGGCACGCTAGCAGAGATTGTTGAGGAAGAGGAGAGGGCAGGCTAGCAGAGATTGTTGAGGAAGAGGAGAGGGCAGGCTAGCAGAGATTGTTGAGGAAGAGGAGAGGGCAGGCTAGCAGAGATTGTTGAGGAAGAGGAGAGGGCAGGCTAGCAGAGATTGTTGAGGAAGAGGAGGGGGCAGGCTAGCAGAGATTGTTGAGGAAGAGGAGAGGGCTGTTATTATTTTTCTTTTTTATGCTTATTTTTGTTATGCTGTTTAATTGGAATATATTTATCGCATAGAAATTGTAAAATATAATAGGGCGGAAGCATTGTAAAGTTACAAAAACGTGGTACGGCTCGGAAAATTAAAATTCTGGGACTTTTAGCGCGGATATGTGGCACGGATAAATCTCTAGGTTTCTTTACTACTGATAATGCGCCAATTGATCAAAAATATCGTTAATCTGTGGAACAAGGCACGGCGAGATTTGACAAAAAATGAAACATAGAATAAAAAAGCGCCGAGCGGAATAAATGGATCACATTTCACGGGAATGACTATGTGACTGTTGAAAGTGCGGTACTGGCCTGTTAACGGGGGGCTATTTCCGTTTTTTTTTGTTCAATCGCTACCTAGCAATAACATATAAATAAACATTTTAGAGTATTTTTGATAAGGTTTGATTGCTGGAAATTACAAACATATTTCCCCCCACTTTTTTGGATTTCCTTTTTGGGTAATTTTTCATGCAATTCGGCCGGACTGGAATGTCTGCGTGCCTGTAGTTTGTGTAACATGCTATAAAAATGGGTGGTATTTTGTTATAGGGCCGTAAGGGATTTCTCCCGTCCCCCCCCCCGCTAACAGCCCACTACCGAAGGTTTTAAAGGGACGTGTAAGCGTGGGTTTAAAGTTGCTCCGGGGGCATCCAATTGGCGGGCACCCATTGCGGCTCGTTTTCCACTTTTCGGATGACGGTCCGCAGCTCGGCCAACGACCGCTCAAAGTCCATGTTGACGACAATGTGGTCGAACAGATGCCCGAATTTCTGGAAAATATGAATGTTTTAAATCTGGCCTAAATCGAGGAAAATATAATTATCCTAACTTCGAAACCGTTTTTTCTTTAAGATCCATTTTCTTTACTATAAATAAAAAAGCGTATTTTTACTGTTCGATAACGTCAAAACTTTACAAATTTTAGCTATAAAGCGCTAAAAAGGTTCTTTCGCATTATCGAGGGGGGGGGGAGGACCTTACGAGTTAAGCATTAAAAGATATTGATCTTTCGAGGCTTAGAAAATATATGTTTCACATAAAAATCAACATGGACGGCCCGCCGGTGGGCCAATGCCGTGCACAATTCTGCCTTCTATTTGCATGCATTTCAAAGCTATTCAATATAATGTCAGAACAATATACCAATATTTTTAATCCTTGCTCAAAATTACACAATAGAAAAAGGCTATGGCAAAACCTTTTGCTTTAACTTTTTGTGCTTTTGTTAAATTATAGCAACCAATTTTTTCTCGTAGAGGTCTTGAGATATTTCGAAACTAAACAGCAAATATTTTAATCGCGTTTTTAGTAAAAAAACAACGATATTTCAAATAGGAAAACTATCTAGGAACTTTTAAACGCTTTTGAAAAAGCCGACATTTTAGTCGCAAAGAAAGAAACGGAAACCAGAAAAACAGAAAATCGATTTTCAAACATTAAGGATCGATTTTCGAACAAAGTTTTTTAGATACTTGGTTAATAAAGTTTTTATAAGTTTTTCCTTTTCTTTTTTCCGGACGTGTTTCCTTAATTTGATTAAAATGTGATTGTTTAGGGTCGAAGAATCTAAGTTTCATTCATTTAAGTCATACCTGTTCCATCGCCTTCCCATGGGTCAGTATGTTTTTCAGTTGCTCGTCGCGCACCGGGGGCGTGTTGTCCGCCTGGAAGTTTGTTTAAACAGTCGTAATTTTGAATTTTTCGCTCAAAAAAAAAAAAAACGATATTTCGACCTAAAATTTAATTTCTAAAGGATTTTAATTTTAATTGCACGGGATGCTATTGGATTGGGATTAAATATAAACCCTTCTGGCGCGTTCGAGCTCCTTCTGCCGCCTCAACACGATCAGGGAGGGCGGGGCGACGAAGATGATGAATGGCTGCAGGTCGGCGTTGCGGATCGCGGTGAGAGACTGGAATTTTTGATTTTGTAGATTCTCCCTTTCTCTAACTCTCTCTCTCTCTCTCTCTCTCTCTCCCTCGCCCACCTCCGGCTTCAGCGTCAAAATACAGGTGGCACCCTTGGCGATGACGCTGCGGATTTCCGCCGCTGACGTCCCATACAGATGTTTCTCGAACTCGCCCCATTCGACGAAGTGGCCGGCCTGGAATGTAACATTGTAATTTTTGGCTCTTCACCGAATTATGGGCTCGCGACAGCCATAATTTTTTGAAACTTACTAATTTGATTCCGATTTAAGGAATTGAAAAAGGAATGTAACCCTTAAATATAATACCTTTAAACTGTGGAAAACGTTATAAAAAGAACAAATAAAATTGCAGAATTTAATACGTAAATTTGCATACCTTTGCCTCGTCCTGGAATTGCTGTCTGGACACGAAATGGTAGTGGGTTCCGCTAATTTCTCCGGCCACAGGTTGGCGGGTGGTATCTGGAATGAGAAAGACTTGATTTTAGAGAGCGGGCTGGAGGGCGAGAGAGAGCGAGAGAGATAGACAGAGCCAGTGAGCGAGAGAGAGAGAGCCAGAGAGAGCGAGAGAGAGAAAGCGATAGAGAGAGAGCGAGAGAGCGAGATAGAGACAGAGAAAGAGCGAGAGAGAGCTCTTCAAAACTCACGCGGTACCACTCCCCCAAATCGTAGTTTGTCGCTTTCGAGTAAATTCTGACGCAACTCGAGGCACCCCACACCCTCCGGACCGCAGAGTACGATAGGGCGTTTCCGGTCGGAGTGCGCGAGGTGGAGCACGACCTCTTCGTACGTTAGCAGATCTTAATTACGTTAATTAAACAGCTTTTTTTTAATATAAAATGCTACAGTCATTTTTAGGAAAAATTAGTTTTTATCGATGTTTCAAGTATGTATATCAATGCTTCATCTGAAGCTTTGCGACTTAGTTTCCCGTATTTTAATTCCAAGCTATCTTAAATCGCAATAAATTAATACTTTTTCTGAATTATCGAGTTTTATGGGTTTTTTTAGAACATGTTTATTTTCCCCCGGGTAATGGAAGGTACGGTTATTGTCAGGAAAAATGTTTCATTTCACGCGGTGATTCTCCTAGAATTTTGGGTTCTAATCTCAGGCGACTAGCGCATACGGCTATGCATTTTTCAAGGATTTTTCAAAGAATTTCTAGTGTGTATTTTTCCCTAACTGTTGTAAGCTAAAACACTTATATAAATTTCATTTAAGTAAAAAAATTACTTACCGCTATGGTATCCCACGCCAGTGGCAATTGCCGCCTCGTCCGCCGGCTTCAAGTCGTTCGATTTTCGGCGTCGCAACACCTAAAAATCATGTGTTTCAGGTTGACTATTTTTGTCTATTTTTAGAACCTATATTTTAGACTTTTCTTAAGTTGGCTATTTTTAAAACGTTTTACAAGACTTTTTCTATTATTTTAATATATAATTAAAACATTAATTTACCGTTTATTTATTCAATTTAAAGAATTTTATATATGGATTTTGAAACCTATTTTTCTATACACATCCTATCAAAAATAGTTTACGAGTTATGAAGGTACCTTCAACACCTCGGGGAGCCGTTTCCGGGCTTCTTTTCGGGTCTTGGGCCGCTGCTCCTTCTCGAGCTCGTCGGTGTACATCACTACCCTGGAATTTTAGAATGCTTTTAGATTTTTAGTCTGCTAGAAGTCTGGGAATTAAGCTCTAACTTTGTTACATGATGGTGTATTTTCATGAAACATGAATTTTAGGCGTTTTGGCCTTATCGAAAAATCTAATTTTATGATAAAGTAACGAAATTTCTGAGTCTTCAGCGATGATGCTGTGCAGCCTCCAAGCCACACTTAAAACTTACAAAAAAAATGAGTTTTCAAAAAGTTTCAGGACTTGAAAATACGCTGAATCAATGCAGTTGAAGGCTGGAAACTGCGCATAAAATCATTTTATTTTACAGTGTGTGCCAAAATGATAGGGGAATGAAGTTTTTGGTCGATTTCTTTGCGATGTTGCGTGTAGCTTTAAAACCGAATTACAGATTTTGTAGTCCGGAAAAACGCGCATCTTTTGGTCTACTTGAAATACTTCTA